TATATATATATATATATATAACATATATATGAAATGACAAAAACCCTATAACATAAGTGCTTTCAAAAGGCGGACCTTTCTTCTTCAGGGGCAAACATTCAGAGCTTGTTACGAAAAACTTGGGAATTTTAAAGAATCGAAAAGCTCCTGAGCCAGATAATATTTACCAAAGAGTTTTGAAGGAGGTTAAAAATTGAATAAGTGGGCCACTTGCTTCTATTTTTTTCCGGGTTCTTGAATAGTAGGTGGGTGCCAGAAGATTGGTAGTTGGGTAACATTACTCATCTTTTCATTGGAAGTTATAAAAATTGTCCCTCTAATTACCCACCTATTAATGGGAAAAGTTTTTGAAAGCCTGATAAAAGATGCTGTGCAAACTCATTAAACAAAGTTTAAAATTTTGTTAAATAATCAGCATGGTTTTGCTAAGGGAAAATGTTGCCACACTAATCTTTTGACATACCTTGCATAGGCGACTGCTTGTGTAGATGAGAGTACGAGTGATGAATTTGGTGCATCTTGATTTTCAGAAAGAATTTGACAAGGTGCCACCTGAAATGCTTGTTGAAAAAAGTTATCTCTGTAATTGTGGGAGATAGGTTGCCTCATTGTATAGAAGAAAGCAGAGGACTGTTATAAATAGAGTTCAGTCAAGACAGATTCATGGATTGGTGAGTTGGGTGAATAACTGGCAGATGGATTTTAATTAAAATAAATGCAAGGTAATGTGGGTTATTATAATTTTAATGGGAAGTTAACATTTTATTAAATCCAAATGTATTTCCAATAATACCTCTGCTGACACAGCTATTACTTAACTGCCAGGGTTTCTTCCTTTGCCCATCTGAGCATAGGTCTGAATTTTTCTAACTTTCTCCAGTCTTTCATTCCTCACTTAATTGCTCTTGTCAATATCTGTCAAGTGGTACTCTCAACCTGCGTCAATGCATCCTCTATCCTGGTACTGTATATAAGCACTTTCAAGACTGACCCAATCCATAGTCTCTAACAACAGTTCTTAGTATGGAGGAAGGGTGAGAGAGTGTGAATGGAGATAAGCATTAGGTCATCAAGAAATTAATGTTGTGTTTTGGAACACTTTCATTAACTACTCTCCAAAAAACGTACATCACGCATAATAGTTAAATGAATCACCTAAATGTCACATTAGTGTAGCCCATATATAATGTGTAAAGTTTAGTATACTCTAATCCCTTATAATGATGGCACATGACGAGACACATTCGGCAGTTGATGCTTTTTTTGAATACAAGATGGGAAACAATGCCTCTGTAGCCACAAAGAATATCAAAGAAGTTTGTGGAAATGTTTTGAACGTTCATAAGTGTCCACAATGGTTCGGTAACTTTCGTTCAGGTGACTTTATCCTTAAAAACTATGATGGCAGGAGTGGACATGTTGGAATTGATATTGATGCTTTGAAGATGCTTGTTGAGTCTAATCCAAGGCAACACACTCGTGAAATAGCCCTGGAATTGCATGTCTCTCATGAAACAATACATAAACATCTAAGGAATATGGGAAAACTCCTTAAAGAAGGTGTTTGGGTGGATGCCTCACGAACTCTCCGATGATCATTGTTTCCAATGTGTGAACATTGTTTTGCCTCTTCTGGCGCGTAATGCGTGTGAAACATTTTTGGACAGAATTGTCACTGTTGATGAAAAATTGATTCTCTATGCGAATATTAAATGCCAAAAACAATGGCTCAGTCCTAGACAAAAACCACTTCTGACCCCCAAATCCATCCATAGAAAGTGATGCTTTGCATTTGGTGGGACATGAAAGGAGTAATTCATTTTGAACTCTTCAATCCACAACAAACTGTCAATGCAGAGATCTATAGTCAACATTAAGTTGAAATAGTGAAATTTTGATTCACTCCATAAACACCTATATAGCCATTTAGGTGGCTTTATAAGTACAATAAGCTTGAGTTTTGCTCAGCCAATACTGTGAAGTAGTCATTGTTAATAATCAGACATTTTAAAGGTGGTTTTAAACAGGTGATTTTTATGGCCAGCAATTTGTTCCATAATAATCCCTACTATCAAAGTACTACCATACTTGATGATTAAAACAAATAAAGACCTTTCATCAGACTGCAAATCTTTGTAAATTGGGAGCAAAAGCAAACACATCGTAGATGTGCAGTGCCAAGAAAAAAGAATGAAGATCATGAGTGCAAAAGTATAAAGGGAATTAGTACACAGGGAGGTTGTGTCACCCCCCTATTGGTGGAGGGCTATTGCTGCATAATTACATCATTATGCAGTTGTGCAAATCACAATAAATATTGCGAGTTCAGGTGAAAATTGCTTAAAGGCTAGTGGCATGCAGATCTCTAAGACAGGGAAGGTAGCTTTCTGTGTGAAGAGGTGTGTATCACCTTGGAAGCAGTGATTTACTGGTTTATATTTGGCAGGTTTCTACTTCAGCTGCTAACAGTAAAATAAACATAGAAAATAAATTAGAAGTAGAAACTCTCAGGAAAAGTACTTTTGAATTTTTTGATCAATACTAAAGAGTATGAACATTACTACTTATTTTAAGTACTCAATTTATTTCACCTTCTTCAACCTTTAAAGTTTTCTGGTGGTAAGGAGGTTCATCAAGTGACAAATTGACCCCATATAGTTAGGGTAGAGAATATAACAGATAAAATAGTTTTTCTGAAAAAGAAAGCTTAATGTTTATTTAAGAGGTTTTAGAGATTTTGCAAATGAAAGTTGAAAATTTTCAGATGAACAAAAGTATTTTCATCTTAGCATGAAATTCACATTGCACTCAAGGCAATAAATATTCTGCCTCCATGTATTCATGGACAAATTTTTAGCAAAAAACTTAATTAAAAATTCTAATGTTTTGTCTACGAGACTTCTAAGGTTTACTAAATGCTTAAAATGTTGTGAAGACACACAAAACCTGTTAAAAGTTAAAGCATGGAAACTCTGATGGGCACGTGATCAGCACAAGCCACTGAGGCAGTGGCAAAAGGGTCAGTTTAAGGGAAGGCTTGATAAACATTTGAATCATAAGGATTGCTTTGAGTTTTTTAATGGATAGGAAGGTGTAGATAGACCAAAGGTCTTTTGCTGTCTTTTAATATGTAGTAAGTTTGATAGAAATTCACAATAATGTTATGACAGCGGAAGTCATGTGATGCTGGAAGCATGCGCGCTGGAGTTTCTAGAAGGATCATGACTTTAGTGTTTGCCAGACGCCCTCTATTTTTGTATATATGCCCAGCAAATAAAGCGGAGAAATAATAGCAGATTGAAGAGAGAGATATAGAGACAGATAATTAAGTCAAGTGAGCGGTAGTGACCGTAAGTAAAGTGTGTGAATCGTTGTGAATTATAGCGCGTGTTTAAGTTAAAGTGACTGTGGAAATTCTGTGTATTGCAAAGTTGTATTGAGAAAGAATAAACTAGTTTTATTTAAGAAAGGACTTGTATCGCTGAAGTTCCTTGTGAGGAATTATTATGGGAAATTATCTAACAAGCAGATACATAACAATAATTAGTTAAATGCTAGTTGCACTTAATACCTCTAAACTTTTAAAGTCTGATGCACTCTGAACTGATGAAATTAATAATAACAGTCACAAAAACAAGTTAGTTGTCATTATGAGTATAATTTATCTACAGTTAAACATTTGATGATATATATTTAAGTATAGTATAACAATAAAATATTTTATTTTAAGGAAGTAATAACTAAGAATATATAAATTTGTAGGTCCTGCTAAAGAATATGTGAACTCTACTATTATGTAGCCTTCAACTGTTATAAAAGAAAATATGTGGGCATGAGAAAAAGAAAGAACATATAGTTGGAAAACTTGAGAGCTCATTAATTATTGTACAGGTTTTAATGAAGTTTATCAATGCTAACACTAATGAAAAGTTAAGTGGTAGTTAACTTATCTAAAGGTGAAGAGTAATTCAGAACTTATGAACACTTAACAACTAAAACTACAGCTAATATTAAACTATTATAATTCACAATCATTAATTTTGGAGAAGCTGCAATCTGTTCATTCGCTTCCTCCCTTTCTATGTCAGTGCTCACATTTAATATTTATTTTAAATGATCATTCTTTATTGCATTGCTCCAAATGCATCAAACTAATCTATATAAATATACTGTCTGTTGTGTGTTCATGTAAATACTTCGCAGGGTGTGGATGAATCTTCACCTAAATTGGTATGGAGGTTCATTATGTCCAAACAGAGGTACATAGAAATTTTCAGTTTTGCATTTTGTGTTTTTTATGGGCGTTTTTACAATTACATGTAAGGGAAGCAACTTTTCATGTCTTAAGATAACCTTTCATTAATCATGAATTTACATAACTTCCATCCTGGGGAGGATCCTCCAGCTAGTAAATTAATATAATGTTGTAATTAGCACAACAGGTTTCCTGTAAGCCTAGAAATTATTGATAGATTCTTTGTATGTTTGTTTGAAGTTAACCACAATGCTACACAATGGTCTATCTGTGCTCTGCCCACTACAGATATCGAAACCCGGTTTCTAGCATTGTAAGTCCACAGACATACTGAAGTGCCACTGGGGAGCAAGGTCTTTGAACATCAAACTGCTTGTTAGTTACAACACCCTTAATAACCTAAAAGTGTCACAAAAATATACAAGCAAAAATGTCACCAATATTGCAGTTAATTCTCCACTAATTACTGCAGGGAATTCTATACATTTTACATAGAAAACATGTCATTTTAGGTCACTTTTCTATACTGACTAATATGATGGGCAAAAGAATAAAATTACTTAATATGATGTAGTATGTGAACTCCTTTGGTTGTGAATGGAACAAAAATAAGTTAACTTGATAGTCAAGTGACCACCTTGTCTTTTTTATACAGTACTAAAATAGTCCCAATGTATCAACAACCTAATTAAAATATCCAAGAAAAAATGTCATTGCCTATCAAATAACATACAAATAGACTGGATAAATGCTTATTTTTGTCATGTTCTGTCATTTAACAACTAGTTATATATGCATTATCACAGGTTTTACATTTTTTTTTCTTATTTAAATTCTTATACAGTTTCAAACTAGCAGTACTCTGAATAATGATTTTAATAACATCATGATTTATGTTGCAATAACTGGCTCTTCTTCTCTTGACTGTCTTCCTCTTCGAAACCAGGGAAAACGAGATCTTCTTGTCCTTGATGTTCGAATATCTCTCAAAGTTGATGTTTGAGGCTCATCTTCATTCACAGTGGGAGGTGCTGAAGGTTCTCCAGGTGGGGTTCCTGGTATCTTTGGGTACACTGGATCTGTTGCCAAGTTTTCTGAAAGAAGACTATATGGTGGAGGTGGGACAGCAGTTGGGCAATGTGGAAAGTTCAAAACAGGTGTAAGACTACCATGGTACCCATAGCTTCCAGGTAACGGAAGATTACTCTCGTGACTTGCATACCACTGATCATGTACATGAGCACATGTTTCTGGGGAAACAGCACATGAATGATAGTTAGTTGGATTTTGATTTTGATGGATTAGTCCTGCCTCTCCATGTCTCTTCTTACGACAAAAACAATAATAAATGCAACATCCCAAGATTAGAAGAATTGGAATGCCTCCCAATAAGTGGTATTTGAAGTAACTCCAAAGGTGCAAACCATGAGAACGATGTAGTTGTCCTTCACTGGTGCCATTCATACTTTTTTTATACTTTTTCAGTTTAAGGGAGCTGATGTTTAATATATAAACTGGTACCAAGATCACTAGACATAAAAAAATACATCAAATTTTTGGATTTCCTAAATATTTTATATTTATAAATAGCCAATTTAAAAAATATTTCATCTTACAGCTATTACATTAATTGATGTTAAGAAAACCCTAATTTACTTATCAATGTTATAGAAATTAAAGTTAATATGTAAAAACTGACAGTTCTTGTGCAAAGATGTTAAATAAAAGGAAGATCAACGTTTTTTACTTGCACAAACATTTATTTGTAAAGTTACAAAATTAAAAATATACAAGTTGAAAGAAACTTAAAACTCTACAGGTTTCACTATAAATAATTCCACCATCTTCAGGAGAATCCATCAAGAAAACTCATAATTCTGCTTATAAACCAAAGGTACGTGTATAATTAGCATACAAGTACTATGATGCCATTTACAACAATAATATCCAAAATTTTATTTCGGTGGCTCCTGGGCCTAAATCTCTATATAAATTTATTTTGTTTTTAACAATTTCTAAAAATTCTCTTATATTTAATTCATCTTTATCTGTTAACTGTTGATTTGAGGTTGATATCCTCTTATCAATTGCTACCTGTTTTAAATACACTAATTCTAACATTCAAATTCGATGACGAGGAACCCACTTTGAGACTAATAATGGCTGGAGACAGCTTGAATGGGTAATGAAGAAAAACTTTAATACAACAGCAAATGTCCAACGTTTCGACAAGGTTTTGTCATCATCAGGTGACGAGGACAAAACCTTGTTGAAATGATTGAAAATTT